AAATCAAAGTGAAGGGAAAAGGGATAATGAGTAAAAGTCTCAGAGTCTCACTGGGGGCTAAAGATAGTCGAAACACCACACGTCTCCAAAAAGTCACATCCGTCTCCCTCTCTGCCTCTCTCTCACACATTTTTCATTGCCTTGGTTTGACACTAGCCAGTTGTCGCGCCATATGCATTCCAACCTTAATCCAAACCTGAATTACAAGAACAAAACATGAGGGCCTTTCGCACCGCTTTAGTTCCAGAACTAAATGTACAGTACAAAAGTACTGGGACGATTTTGCGCGAACTATTTTCCAGTACCATTTAAAGGGTTGCATTCGCACCGAGAGTGTGTACTAAGAAGTGACGTAAGCCGGTCGACAGCGACATCATTTGTGCATGGCGTTCAACAACAGAAACAAAAAAGAACAACATTAACAACAGGAGGATGGCGGACGCTGTGATCAGAGCTGTGTTTTTGTTGCATCTCGCGGGTTTCACAATAATGGACATGGAAAAGTCGACGTATACCTAAAGCGAGGTACTATGAAAAGGTTCCCGCGGTGCGAAAGGCCCTATGGGCTCATTTTGATAATTGCATCTGAGGGGCGTTTACAAACGATTGTGGTTTGTGTGCTTCCCTCACTTGTGCTGAGGCAAGGTCTGTTTTTGTCTTTGAATATGTTAAATGCAATCTGCTATCTATTCATATTTTATAAAATTGTTTGGATGATGTATGTGTGAAAGTGTAGTTGCGCATCTGAGTCTGCACAGGTAGGAACTTTTTAGAAACTATCAACAGCTTATAATTAGACTTTCAGGTTATATTACTTGATGAGCATTTTATTTTTATATATTTTTTAACAACAACATTAATAATAATAGTAATAATAATAATAATGGTAATTTTAACGTTTTTTTTAAGGTAGCAAAATCAATAAAAAGACACAGACTTTGCCTAAAAACATCCATTACCAGTAAAACGACTAACGCACAGCTTCTCGTGACTTATTTCTTTAATATAAAGCAAATTGCTAATGCATTAAGCCTGTGTTCCGGCTGTGTAGTGGGTCAGCTTATGCTTGACCTTGTGTTGTCTGCTTTGTATGGTGGAGGGAAGGTAGAAGGGTTTAGGTTATGGGGAAAAACTGCATTGTCTGAAATAGCTGGAGCGTCTCACTCCTGGTTGGTATCCAATCTGTTGGCAAGGAAATTTATTCATGTGCATTACGGATTTTTCCCGCATTCATGTAGCTGCCTTCTGTTACAAAACGAACACAGTGGGTTGAAACGATGTGCCATATATGGGAATTCCTCTGTTTGCCGATGGCTTTCATCACTAAGGATGGTCTAATATGTGTTTGACAGGCAGTGAAGGCGTGCCTTGCAGCGCGAGATGGTTGCAGAGGGGAAATTATTTTAACCTCTCTTAACTCTGTTCTTGCATTCGCACTCGTCCTTCAGTATGGTTAAATAATGACCTTGAACTTTTATTATGCCCAGCATAATATAAAATGAAAGTAAGAAGTGACTGAAAGTAACGTATGCATGTAAAGTGTTTTTTCAGTTCTTAAAGAAGTCATAGCATGGCCTCGAGTGTCCCACAGATTTTATGAAATGTTTTAAAAAAACATTCCTTTCATTTATAATATATTTGCAGTCATAAAATTCAGCTATATTTTAAAGGATATTAAAACAGAAAACTGTTATTTTAAATTATAATGTTTCTCAATATTACTGTTTTTTTTTTTTTGATAAAATAATTGCAGAAGAAACTTCTTTAAAAAAACAAAAAATATTACTGATCCCAAACTGAACAGCAGTTCAGTTTGTGTCTGTGAAGTTATAATTACAAGATTATTCTTTAAATGATATACTGCTTTTATAAATGTGGCCCACTTTCCATAAACAAGTAAGATTTATAGTGTAATGCAGTTTTTTTTTCTTGCTCTGTTTAGAGTTTAAATATGGATGTAGTTATTGCTGTAGGGAGGCCATTTAATTTGCAGTACAATGAAGCATCCATGGCTACGACAGGAATGGAACTGCAGCCAACTCTTCCCTCCCCTCACTATCTTTTTACTCCTGCAGAAGGCATGAAGTCGACACTCTCCAAGGGCTGTAAAAAGTGCCAGCTACGTATCTCCTCATCTCTCTCTCTCTCTCTCTCTCTCTCTCTCTCTCTCTCTCTCTCTCTCAATAGTGTTCTCAGATACCACCATTCATTCAAATAGTTTCTTTTGTAGAGGCTTTTGCATCGCAGTCAGTGCCGTTGGAGACCCTCCTGGCAACGTACATACATCCCAAGAGTACTCCACCGTTACCTATTTGTTAATTTCCCTTTTTTCCCCATTTTGAAAGCCACTTATATTGACTTTGAACTTCTGAGCTTGCAGGAAGAGCAGGAGATTGGCTGTGAGTGTCAGTTCTTGGTCGCAGAAACACAGTGGCGGTTCGGTTTTTATACCATGAAATGCATCATTCCTGAAGTGGGATAAAAATAGAACAAGCTTAGTTTTATTGCCTCAAGGCCTTGTTCTCAAAGGTTCCTGGCTGCTCAATGAACACTGCAATTGTGCAGGGACTAAACTACATGTGTGACAGAAAATGAGAGAGAGACAGGAAACACGAAAGGAGAGAGAGAAGACTAAAATGAGTGTTGCAGTTTAATAAACGTTTCTTAATTTACTCCAAAATAGTAGTTCATTTGTTTTCATTTTGCAAGCTTGTGTTTTGTCTTAAATGCAAAATGAATGCAATATTGAGCTTTTTAAGGGGCAGTTCATACCAAATGTGCGATTTTGCATTTAGAAAAGCTAGACGGAGTACAATAAAATTGAGCAAAACAGCTTTTTAAAACACTGTTCATTCCATTTAAACTTTGATCATGTAAATATGATAGACACATTGAGTTAAATGACACAACTTTGAAGGTGTACAACATTAAGAAAAGATGTTCCATTTGGTGTCACATAATGTATTGAGGCACTGATCTTTATGCGAGTCATGCAAACAGAGCCATATATATTCTATATATAAAACTGTATTTTTTTTTCTTCATGGACATAAATAAATTGCTGTTGCAGTGATTTATTTTTTTCTCTGAATCTAGCACGCATTTCCAGTTTATCTCCGTGGGAATATCTACCGACCAATGTGATAAGACCCATAAGAAATAAGAATCAGCTCACAATGAACATTTGTTCCTCATCCTGAATCTGCTTGACATTTATCTGCAAATGAGCACTGCTGAAGTTGTCAACAAAGTTGTTAGTCAGTTCCTTATTTTGAGCTTTAGGAACAGAGAGTGGATCCACTTTGCTGCGTACTGTATGTGCTAGGCAGCTTGTATAAGAACAAACTCGCCCCTTGATTGACCCAGCGGTGCCACAGAGGGGTGAAATACCAGCTGCACTGATGGGATGTTACTGCAAGAAAGAACAGCCTCAGGAAGAGGATGGGTGCTTGAATGGCCTTTGTCGTAACACTTTCATTAGCTGGTGGCAGAAAAATTGGAAACTGGTCTATTTACTGTAGGAAATGCATTGGCCAAATAACAAGTGCATAAAAAATTGTGATAATTGTAATGGGTAAATGAATCATTCTTTGCTCATTTTTATTAATTTATTTAGCTAGTCCAGCAGTAATTAGCACGAAACTTGTATAGAATGCCATCATGAGCTTATTACAAGGGTAAAAATACCCCTGCACAAGTCTGGTGTTAACTGCTTTGCTCTTGGGCACCATGGTAATGGTCAAGGATCGCTCCCTGCAGGGATTGAATCGGCAGCCTTCTGTTTGCAATCTTCCAGAGTGGCCAATAGCTATGCAGACTAGTGGCCCTTAGGACATTTCCATCAGATATTTCATGTCAAGCAGCTTGTGTATCATAGTTACTGTATTAACAAAGGTGGGCGTGAGATTTTTCACTGACCACTGGAGACCTCCCCCCCTCCCAGCCCAGGTACTGTGGAATCAAATCGGATGAGATTTAGCTGCTAAATGTTATTGCACATACTGAAGTGCTCCTTGTTCAAAGTGTTGGCATGTATACGTGTTTTTAATGCTTGACTAGTGTGTTTGCTAATGGCACCCTGCTGTTCGAGAGATTTCCAGTATGGTGCTTAAGGGAGAGAGAGCGAGTGGAAGAGTGTCGGCTGTGGTACTCCTGTAGTTAGTGGGGCGTTTTCTGTGGCTGCGCTGAGCTCTGTTCACATTTACACTCCACTTGTGTTCTGGATTTCCCATTCCTGGCATAGCCAATTCTCGCACATTACGATAAGGTAGAGTAACTCCAAGCAGTCCCGCTAAACAAATATGAGTGAAACTCCTCAGTAACATTTCATTAAAACGACTCTCGCCTTAAGTAATGAAGCTACTCGGCAACGTGCCGTGCTTACTTCACTGTATAGAGGTGCTTGTGCAGCCAAAGCGAGGCAGCAGAACCCTAAAAATCTAATTTCTTGCCTCAAAAGACTGGCCGCTGCAAATAACGTCTGTTTGCAGAGAATGTTTGGCGAATCGTGAGTAAGGAGGGAGATTTGTGGGTCAAAATGACAATTTACTCTATAACATTATAAACATCAGCAACAGGCAGTGGGTTTGCTTGCCTCAGCACTCTGGATTTCAGCGGCTTGTGGAGTTTCTGAAAGTGTCAGGAATATTTGCCTCTCTCACTTTCCTGAGCTAACAGCCGCCTGGCAGAATGGTGATTTAATCGTCTCTAGGAACCACTCCCTGATGCTGTCAGCCATCATCCTGTGAATTATATGAAATATATTCCCATGTGGGGAGACGACCAGACCTCAATTTCAGGCTTTGCTTTTATTTTGACTTAATCCTCTGGGGCGCTTTTTTCCTGCTGTATTATTTTACCATTTTATCAAATAATCAGATCAACAGCTGACAGCAGGTGTGTGTTAAATTAAAACTGTTTGTTTGAGGGATGGAAAACCAAATTTTTTTTGTTCGCTGTTCATTTGTCATATGATAAAAAGCTGAATTATTCTTCTGTTTTAGGTAGCTAACCTTGCATGCTCCATCTCAAACAATGAGGAGGGAGTAAAGTTGGTACGGATGGCCGCTTCCCAACTGGAAACACTTTGCCCTCAGGTACGCAGCATTTCGCAGATGCGCCTTCAGTATGTCCCTCACTCCACTGTGGCTTTGACTGCTTTTTATTCTGAGCTCCAATGACTATATCCTTCATCCTGGGGCTTTGAACTTATGTCTTTCCATCAAAATAAACATGGTTTATTTTATTCATTAATCTCAGTCGTAATCTGAAACAATTGTAATTGTGTTTTTAGAAGGTTGTTGCAGGGAGGACGTAAGATAATTAATCTGCATATGTGTAGATGTGATTTTTGGTTCTTGTACGTCTTAAAGTGGATTAATGGGTTGCTTGTGGTAATTGCAGGTGATTAATGCAGCCTTGGCCCTGGCTGCCAAGCCTAACAGCAAAGTGGCCCAGGATAACATGGATTTGTTTAAGGACCAGTGGGAGAAACAGGTACGAGTGCTTACTGACGCAGTGGATGACATCACTTCCATTGACGACTTCCTCTGCGTGTCTGGTAAGCCCACGTTACAAAGTATAGAGCTGTATCTTGGCTCTTAGATAATGTTAAAGTGATGGTTCACCTTCAATGACAACCATGCTCATTTACTCTACCCTTGTGATGCTTAGCAGAATATTAATTTTGCTCTTTTCAAAAAGTACCATGAAATGGGGAAAAGACCAAAAATTAAATTATTCACTGAAAATTATTTTATCTGCTGATGGCGAAGTTGAATTTTTAGTAGCCTTTACTCCAATCTTCAGTGTCACACGATCCTTCAGAAATCATTCTCATTGATTTGGTCCTTAAGAAACATTTTGTTTTTATCAGTGTTAAAAACAGATATGCATGCTTAATTTTGTGGAAACTGTGATATTTCTTCCAGGATTTCTTTTAATGAATGGAAAGTTCAAAAGAACAGCATTAATTTGGAATGGGAATCTTTTGTTACATTATGCATGCCTTTTACTGTCACTTTTGATCTATTTAGTATTAAGTAATATTAATTTATTTCCAAAAATCTTGGTGCACAGTTGCTTTAAGTATCTGAACCATATGGTCTGTTTCATACATTTAATTTGTAAGTGTTTTAAACACTTTCTGACAGTAGTCTTCAGCAATAACAGAACCTCACCAGATGTCATAAAGAACAAGCTTTTTAAACTGTGAAGAATGATTTCAGCCTACTTCAATCTAATGATAGGCTGATTGGCTCCTGTCTGTTTGTATCAGACCCATAATAGCTTCATGCAGAAGAGGTGAAAAGCCTTTATACCTACATTTCTATCAGCAACTGATGACACGGGTCACTTCCGATCGTGGGCCGCTTAGTGGCCACGCTTAAATAAGTTCATTGGCTTCTCAGGAGCAGACAAAAGACCTTGAGTGTCAATTCTCTCCTGTGGAATTGACATTCTATCACGAATGTTAAAGACTTACCATCCCCCTGTCAGACGTGGCCTTTAAGAGTTCTTGTTAAGCTGTAGGCTGACTGACTGCCTTCACCTCCTCTCAAGGACAGATTACAGTTTACCATGTTGATTTGCATTTCCCAGACACCCATTACTAAACTGTCTGAGTGTGTGTTTAATCTTTTTTCATCCACACTTGTGGTTCCCGTTAATGTTCTTAAGTCAGGGACAATGTAAATACAGCATGAAGGATGAGGATTTACTGTCTTCATGCTTTGCATTGTGGTTACCATTCTGTACATTCTCCAGTGTTGTTTCCTTAGTTGTTTTAAACATTGTTTCTCTTGTGTATTTTTCATTCTTTTTGCTTTAGAAAATCACATTCTGGAGGATGTTAACAAGTGTGTCATCGCTCTGCAAGAGAAGGATGTCGATGGCCTGGATCGCACCGCTGGAGCCATTCGAGGTAGAGCTGCCCGTGTGGTCCATGTGGTCATATCTGAGATGGACAACTATGAACCTGGGGTCTACACAGAAAAGGTTCTGGAAGCCACCAAGCTTCTCACTGATACAGGTATAAACCAGAACACTATAGACCTGAAATTATTTGTCTTTTGCCATAAATGTCTGTAGCTACAGCCAATTTTTATGTAAAATAATTTTTTAGTAGCGGTGTTGGAAAAGGCTATGTATTAACATTATTTAATAATATGAAACAAATAATACTGCTAAATCAAAACTCATAAGCATAATTGTAGACTGCTTATGATTGGCATTATTTGGTGCAGTAATATAACAACCCTCTACAGCAGTGTTACTTATTGCGCGGCTCGCCAAGCTTTACTTTGTGGCTCGCATGGCACTGATTGCAGGAAATAATACGATGATATGATCATGCAGTCAATACAGATATTTCATAAAAACATTAAAAACAAGCAGGGCCATAACATAACCCATTAAAAAAGCTCACACCATGTCTACAGCGAACGCGAGTGGCGCGATCCGACAAAAGACAATAGAACCCAGTGATGTTGTCTACACTGGATGCGGCGCGGCGCCATGCGATGTGACACGATTCCCATCAGTAAACTGATGCCTCGTTCTATTTATGATGAACTATACTGACACTACGTTCAAATGATTTGCAACTGTCGCTTTGTCGCATCAAGTGTAGACAGACTTTTAGCGCAGAATTCTACTAATAAGAACAATATAAAAACTCACTAAGGATTCATGAATATTAATCAGGTTGTGTGCGTTTGCTCGAACTAATTGGCTGAAATCAAAACAGGGACGATAATAGGTGAGCACCAAAAAATACCTAAAACAGCAGCATTACAAGAAGGAAATATAGACTAGAAAAGATATTTACATTTGCTCTGTCCTACGTCCATGACACTGACTCACTGCGGAGTTGCCAGTTTTAATCTTAACGCCGAATGTGCACTTGGATGGTTACATACATGATGGGCTAGTATAAAAAAATTAAATAACTTAAGGTCTTTCCAGCATTAAGGTAATCCTGCTTTTTTTTTTTTAATAATCTTGTCTCCGTTACAAATTTGACTGGTTAATGATAAAGAATGATAGCCCCTTTTGTATTGCATTGCATATGACAGATTGATTAAAAAGACATGCTATTTATGACTGGATGTAACTTTTTATACTTCGCGGTAAAAGTGGCTCTCCGATTG